ACACTAATGGGAGAATCACCAGATGGTACCTTGCTATGCAGCCGTTTCGGTTTAAGGTTCACTACATCCCCGGCAAGGACAACACCACTGCTGATTACCTTTCTCGGAGCCAGAGGGAAGATCAAGAAGTGGGGGAGTGTGTGATGGCCAAATCCATGGCCACACTCTGAAATTGACAAAAGATGGGGGGCCAGGGCTCAGCAAATTTGGATGCTGATTGGACTGCACCACTGGTCCTTGATGGCGGGGGAATGTGTAGTTTCTTTCTTTAGATGAGTTTTTGCATTTAGGTGAATATTGGTATTTGGACTTTAATGGTTTTGATTTTCATTTTGTGAGTCTTTAGTTTAGTCAAACTTAGCTGTACTGTTATTTGTTTTGTTTGTAATTGTATTCTGTTTAGTTACCCCTATTGTGTCTAAATTGGTCTGATCAGCCAGTATATATACCCCTGTCTGTCATTTCTTTGTAGATCAGTTATGTTTGTTTGTACAGCCAGTTTGTTTACATTTTTGCCTGAGTTCAGTTTTGTTTCTTTGACCTCTTTTATGAGCTCAGTTTATCTTTTGTCATCTATTTTTGGGTTAAAATAAAAAAAAAACTATTTTTCTAATTGATATCCTGTGACTCCTCCTGTTTTTTTAACTCGGTCCATCACAAGGCCCAATCATCAAAACTGGTATAAGGGCTTGGTATATATTACTTTGTGTATAATAGGTCTGTATTTGCTATAAGTGTTTATAGATGTTGGAGATTGGCCTTTTTTCTAGTGTAGTCCTGTTTCTCTAACTGTGATTGGCTGGATGTGCTCTCTTCATCCTCTGACTTGAGGGTTGGCTCGGAGCTCGTCTGCCTGGCTGTGTGTTTCCTGGACGGGGCCGCCTTTTACAGTTGCTTTTGGTATCTCTGCTTCTGTCTCCTTGAACTCCAGTCGGGCTCGGAAGATGGCCGCTCACACTGAGCCTGGTTCTGCTGGAGGTTTCTTCCTGTTGTCGCTACATTGTCGCTAAAAGCATGCTTAGTGTGAGGGATTGCATTCGAGTCAATTAGTCGATGCAATCAACTGGTTTTCCTTAGATAGAAAACTTTGAAACAATTTGACTGTATGATCGTGTGAACTGTAAAGTGCCTTGAGATGACGTGTGTTGTAAATTGGCGCTATATAAATAAACTGAATTGAATTATTATCTCTCAGTTGAATTAACCCCAAAAAAAACCTACATTTTCATCAACTCATTGCTATAAAACGCTTATTGATATATTTAACCTTTTAAGGGTCAATGGAAAAGGCTAAAAACAGTTACCCTTTTAAACTATTTTTCTAGTCATGATTGGCTTTGTTGCTTTTAAGTATTTCAAATCAGATGTATTGATTAGGAGGGTGCTACTTTGGGAGGGTTTTCGGGTCATAAATATAAAATGTATTTCTAAAAAAATAAATAAATAAAAAGAGAGAGCCTTAAGAACACTTTGTTCTGGACCACCATAGTCTCCATTTATTGCCTTAAGACCAGTCATTTTAATCGGCTTCTGTTGCTTTTTTGTGCTAAATAGAAACCATAAGTCTACTGGCAACAATATAAGCCGAGCGAAAAAAGAAATGCATTTTTTTTTTCTTTCGCCCTCTCTCTCTCTTATCGCTGCTCTCCATCTCTCGCTCCGCTCCCTGAGCGCGTCAGAGTTTGCGCAAGCAGCCTCTCCGCCTCTCGGTGCGTACAGGGCAGCTCTGTCTCCCATTCACACCACTTTACTACCAAACGCACTCTCTGACGGATCGCGTTCAAAAAGAAGGTGCTTCTTCTCTCCTTTTTCGCCGCTTTGGATTATCACTGTGCTTTTTCACCATGCTGGAAGTAGAAGGTAGGAGGCACAGTTTGCGTTTTTGTTGCCATTTAAAGCCAAAACGCAAAATCCGGATGATGCTTTTTTTTAATATAAATGTTCCCGATCACCACTGTAGATGTTTGACCTTGAAGAACAGCTTAGTCGAATGTATATGCATGTTTCTATGTATGACATAAATAAATGACATTAATACTTTAATATCATTTGTAATCGAGGGGAGGGTTTTAGTGCGTGCGTAACGCTGATGCTGAATTTCATCAATGGAGAATGCAAGGGACGCTTCTAAATACTTATTCATCAACTAAACTTATCCCCACAGTTTTTTTAATATATATTTTTGTTTGTATTTAGATCTTTAGGTCGGCTGGATCGTTTTACTTCCTATAATCTTGAATAATTCAGAAAGTTCTCTGATCTCAGCAGGAGACAGAGGTTTTGCGCCTGCATCTAGATTCTGAAGAAGCATCCTGTTAGTCTCCATGCTAAGGCGCAGGGATGCAAGAGGGATGCAGGGATGCAAGAGAAAGACGGCTTAAAGGAAAAAAGCTTACATTGGAAAAAAAAAAATCAAAATCTGGATAAGTCATTTTTTCTTAAAATAAGTGCATTTGTTCTTGGATTGAGGAGGTAAAAGAGACATTTTGCCAATGGAAGAAGACAATTGACATTTAAAACACAATTGCATTACTTCAAGTGCATGTTATCTAATTGTCTTATTTTAAAAGTAAAAATACTCATTCCATTAGCAAATCTCATTTACCAACTCAGATTTAGGGTAAATACACTTAATTTAAGACATTTTTACTTATTTCTAGATCGTTTTTTCCAGTGTATGAACTGCCACTGCTGCAACAAGGGGATTGACTGAAGATATATGCTGTCTACAAAGGGAAATATAGAAATGGAAGAAAAATAAAGATTGGAGGAAAAGCTTTAAAGAGGCAGAGATTTGTAAATCCACCTTTTTTTTTATTATTCCTTAATATTTCTATTTACAAGTTTTTAAGAAACAAATACATTTCCTTCCATACCTAAAGTAGGTTCTGCAAAAAAAAAAAAAAATGTATCTAAATTGCTGCAAAAACCAGTTTTGGTAAAAAATAATTGTGTAAAGAGACAATCAGCTAAGGAGATGAGATATCTGATTCTTATACCTTTGTTTTCAGAAATAGAGAAATGATTTGGAAAACTCTTAAACTAATTAGTGTATAATATATGAGTCCAAGTTTGACCAGGCAATACAATCAGATGTGCTTTTGCATTTATGGTGCTTTGAGAGATCATCACCTCTTCTCCAATGTTTCTCTAACTTGAAACTGTTCAGCATTTAACAAAAAGTTATTAGAATGCTGTTTTTAAGTAATCTCTCATAAAGTTGTTTTTTTTATTTTTTTACTGAAACTGTGCTTCAAAGAAAGGCCATGTATGAAAATTAAAAGGAAAAGTCCAATGAGGATAAGATAAAGATTTTTTATTTTTAATCCCAATTAACAATACTGACCTCGGTTTTAAAGTTTCTTTGTTCCCAATAATATTGTAAGTCACTGTAAGTATTTTGAACAGATGATAATTAAATACGGTCAAAAGTCCTGAAAAACAAACAAAGAAAAGGATACCATTAAACAGCATCAGGCCGAACTTAAAGAAAATCCACCCCCGCTATGCATGTGGTGGATGAAAGACGATGCTTAGTTCTTTAGTTTGGTGTTGAAGCATCCATTATGAATCAACTAGCAACATTACTTGGAATGTGATTTAAAGCTTAACTGAAAGATCATTTTTCCTCTTCCAGTGCTCCGGTTGCCTACTGAAACAAGTTTGCCCTTGAGAGAGAGCCAGGTTATAAAAATCAATACCATCATTGTAGTTACACTTTTTCTCGAGGTTACAGTTTTTCTCTTGTGAAAAAAAAAACTGTCCTTTTCTGGTTCTTTGTTTTTTTTAAGTTTTACCAAATTGCAGTTTTTCTTTAAAGAATTGTATTTAAGTTTGATTACTCTGAGTATTTCAGCTTGTCTGTTTTTGTCAAACGAATCCTCAAATTAGTGGTAATGAAAATCCCAACAATTTCCTAATATATGTGTAGAGAATTTGATATTCACTGTTTTCAAATCTAAAATGTGTCAAACTTTAACCTGATTATGGAGTATCTTTAAAATACATTTTGTAGATTGTGAAATGTGTATTCTGTTTGTAAAGCTACATAAATTGAGGGGGAGTGGCTGCCTCCTCCTGAGGTTCTGAGTTCAAGCCCAACTCCCACAGACTGCCACTCTGGGCCCCTGAGCGTAACCCTTAACCCCACACTGCTCCCTGGGCGCCCCACAATAGCAGCCCACTGCTTAACAAGGGGATGAGTAAAATGAAGAGGTACATTTCTCCAATGTAAGATCAATAAAGTTCAATGATTATCAATTAAATACAGCAATCTCCTTAAAAACAGAGATAAAAAACTATAGTTATAGGAACTAGTGTTTATTGGCTCATTATTAGATTTGTTTAGTATTCTCACATTTCTGTTTGTGTAGAGTCTCATAGAACATGAATTATAGCCCACCAAATATTTAATTCATGGAGTTCTTCATGCTTATGAGATTTTACGTGATATTATTTGTACTACTAAAGTGGAGCTCTACGAGAGATACTCCTTTTATTTAGTGCTAATAACGATGGCCTTAGGCTTCTTTTGCCTTACTGGCGGATTCAGGTGAAACGTGGATTAATGTGGTTTTCTCGTGCAACGAGATCATGCCGCTGGGTTTTTTTGTACTGTTCTGCAGCTGGAAAAGGAGACCGCTGAGGTCACACGTGCACTGAACTGGCGGTCAAAAATGAGAACAAACGTTGCTTACCTCCAGCTTTTATTTGAAATATTTTGACAAAAAGGTTTGTGTCATGGCTAAAGAAAGATACCCAAATATGAAATTGGCTCGAGAAGTGGAAAAAGGATTTTGGTGTTCCTTTCTATGCTCCCTTACTCCTCCTCCTCCTACTCTTTCTAATTCATGTGTATGATTGTGCTGAGGGTGGAAGCGTTGGCAGCTTAGTGTCCTGAAAAAGCACCAGTCCAGTTATAAATGCCTTTTTTTCCCCCAGTCTTTCCCTTCTCATCTCCAGTCTGTTCCACTTTTCTCTCGTTTTTTCTCCCCCACCAGTGAACGGGACGCCGGCCAGTCAGCTGTCCACTCCACATTCGGGAAAGTCTCCCAGCCCCTCCCCGACCAGCCCGGGCAGCCTCAGCCGACGCCGGGTAAGACTCAGTTACACAGGGACACACACCCACACACATAACCTTTTCCACACACAATCAGCCCGTAGAGCGTAGAGACTTTTAAGTCTGTAACACACTCCTTCTATGTTCTCAGGAAAAGGACAAAGCTGTGGCTGAGAATAGGCCAACTACATCTTAGAGTCACTTGAAAAGGAAGAAACCAGCACATCCCAACACCTTTAGCATCTAAGATCAGGGTGGGGAGTAGAGCTTTGATCTCATCCAGTGCTGCTTTGGGAAGCTCTGAAGGCTTACGTTTGGACATATGTTAATAGCTGAAAAAACTCATCCAATGCATTTGCACATATGCTGAGGCATTGCTCTTTGTTCCTCATGCTGAATGCTATGCAAGTGTTAGTGCTGCTTCTCATGGCGCCAACACTCGCTTTTAGTTATCTATGGATTTATGAGTCAGCATTTTGTACAGTATTTTGTATATATATACCTGTGCAAATGGTTTAGAAAGGTTTTTACTAGTTATAGTTTGTACAAATTTGTTTTATTAATGGGGAAATGAGGTATGATAGCATAGCAACCACAGTGCAACTTTAGGGGTATAATGCAGAGAAAGAACATGCAACTCTATTGGAAACTATTTATTTAAACATACTTCTGATTTGATGGGCTAGATTTTGCAAATTTAAACTTATAATCTGTATGTGCATGTGTTGAATGAATGACTGCTCTGGTCTTACAATGAAGCTCCTATTGTTTTCTTCAATAGCAATCTACAGTTGCTTATTTATTTATTGCACATTTTTCCCCTTTATTTTTGCTTAACACGTCACAATTTAATACAGCTTTTAGGACTATGAATAAATAGAACAAGAAGCGAGGATAGAGTGGCTGTGGGCCTAAAAGTTATTTTATAACATTTTTCAAAAAGTTCCAGATGAATTAAGTATCTGTGTTTGTTGCTCTGTCAAGAGATCTGATGATATATAAGAAATATGTTTCATCATAGCATATTGGTCATACTGCAAAGGCTTGCTTTATCTCCAAGGCATTTATTCTTAACAACATTTATATTAACAGTTTTTTTATTTTTTATTTTTAAGCCATCATAGACAGAGACAAGTGGGTCAGCAGTGTATTCTCCAGCCTACAAACTGGCGATAATCTTCAGGTTTCTTAGCTGCGTAGTTAATAGAAAGAAGAAGCAAAGACTAAGTAATTTTTTCCCATTAATTTGACACTTTCTTATTCTAGACTCCTAAATTATCCTAAAGTTGAATCACATAAGGAGTCATTCATCCTACTTTATTTTCTTGTTGTGTGAATTTCATTTGTCTTTTTCTGCGATGTGTTCAGGGCCCTCTTCAGAATAGGAGATTTTTCAGTCACTACTGGAACCAATATCTGGTCTGCAAGTCAGTGATTTTTTAGTAAAAAGGACATTTTTTTCTCAACACAACTAAAATAATTTGCTGTTGAATATTAATAATTTTTTCGAAGATATATACTCTATGTATTTAGCTTTGATTCTGCCTTTTTACTCTGAATGTTACATCTTTGTTCTGCTGTTTTTTTAAAAACACTGACAATAAAATAAGAGGATTGTAGCTGGCTAATGAGGGAGGTTACCTGCTCGGCTTGTAGCTTGCCAGCTGCAGCTAATGGTACAAAAACGTTCTTCCTGTAATGGGAGCAGTAAGTGGTCCTCCATGCCCTGACACAAACTGACGAATATTATTCTATTTTCATTTAATAAACCAAGGTATCATAATTAACTGGATCACCTTGACATCTTAAAATGCTTTTAAAAACAAAGTAAAAAAAAAAATCCTAATTGTAGTTGTTTTACTTAATTAATTAGGCATAAGAGCGTATTAATTAATAATACAATAAACAATAAACGACGGGAGCTCCTATTTTAGACAACTGCAGACTCTTTTGTTTCCTATCAGCTAATTCATTTCAAATTGCAGTAAGTATGTTGTGAGAGCATTCCAGTTGTCACAGAACCATTTTTCATGTTTTCAGAGATTTTAGGATGTAGATTTTAAGTGTTTTTCAGACAGATATTTTACAAGGAACTCCAGGTTTTTAAAGGATCTTTTCTTAACTGTAAACAGTACAAAATATTGTTTAAGTCACAAGCCAAGAGCCTAATTCGTATAGAGAGATTATTCTACACTTCCTATTGCTTTATAATGAGACAAGAAGGAGGAGCCTTTTTCAGCCCATTATTTCCCCTCTCCACTCTGCAGCTTCACACTCCTCAGGAATATTGTTATAATTCTCTTCCATATGTCTTACTTTATTGAGCACCCTGGTAGATCTGCCTTCTCTCCCCTGTAACAGTTCCAGTTGCAGCCATTTTAGGCACCTTTCCTGGACTCATTTGAAAGGGTGATACTCTATTCAATCATTTCACCTAAGGGATTTATCCACAGGAACAATTAATTATTTGAATTTCACAATATTTACAGTTAATTCACAAACGACACAGAAGTAGCAGATTTCTGGAACATGTCCACAATTGTCTGGGTAAACTTCCCAGGGCAGTTTCTGTATCTCGCTAGAGGTTTTTACAGCCCACTTAATACCAGTATTCACTCCGAAGAGTGTTTCCTTAGCAGTTTTTTTACTTTGTTAAGAGGATGTTGTTCAGTTTCTGCCAAATAGATTAGAAAAGCGGCCAATCCTTGCAGATGAGCAAGCTAGAAAAAAATGATAACCTTATACAAAGACTTCCAGATGCAACCAGTATTTTTTTGTCTTTTTCTTCACATCAGCATTTCACCTATTGGAATCTGTAGACAGAACGAATTAGGTTGCACACACTGCTTTGTTTATTACACCCTATTTTCACCAAGCTGAATAAATGGACACAGTGGCTTTTATCCTTTTAATCATCATGCAAAGAAAAGTGTAGTTACACAGATACATACATATTTAACCTAAAGGAAACTGTGTGCCTGTTCCGACTTCAGAAGATTTTTTCTTTTTTTTCTTTCTTTTTTTTCTGCATTAAAGTGTCATTTATGCTCTGGTGGCAGACAAGCATGATACTCGAGCTGTCTCATTTACACATTCTGTGCACAACCTGACCTATTTTTATAAACAGCCAAAGCTTAAAGGAGTAGTTTGCCTCCACAAAGTCAGCCACCCCATTTGAACGTCTGTACCTCAAAGGCCTCTCTAAGAGTGGTCTACTTTTCGTTCATGTCTACCTTTAAAAGAGCAGGTATGTTGAGCCAGACTACCTCACTGAGATTTGCAAGCCGAGCCGGATGTAGATGAATGTACAAAGCCGGCAAGGTCACAGCTCTGTAAAAAATGCAAAGTGGAGAAATAAATCATCATATAGAAAAAAATGACAGTGACAGATTGGAGGTGCTTAAAACAGAAGGTTCATGTTGCAGAGGCTGTAACTTCCATCCATCCATCCATCCATCCATCCATCCATCCATCCATCCATCCATCCATCCATCCATCCATCCATCCATCCATCCATCCATCCATCCTTGTGTTGTCATGGGGTGAAAGGCTATCTATTGTGGAGTTAGATGTTATTTTCCATTGAGTTGCATGCTCCATCTCTCCTCCTTTTATTGATTTTTTTTGTGTTGGGTGAATTATCATATATTTATTTGTTTGCTTGTGCAAGAGCAACATAAATTAAAATGAAGATTAAAAGGTCCATAAAACATTGTTACATTTTCTCATTAATTAAAATGTATGTGCTTTTTAAAAAAAAAATCTTTTTGTTTTATTATATTTCCTGTCTCCTTCTGTGTCATTGTCATTGAAAGCATGCTTTTTCTTAATGGGACTGGCAGCACTACCTTAGATTACTCCAGTAGTTTTTGATTGTTTTTTTAGGATTTTCTTTTTTTTTTTACATTTCATTGTAAAAGTATTTACTAAAATGAATCATTTACATTTAATTCAGTGAATCTAACAATGACTCATTTGCAAAAATATTCAGAATATTTGCATACTTTGGGGATAAAATACATTCATGATGTAATGTTTGTCTTGTGAGGCTGCCAGCTCTTCTTGATTCATTTCTTCTTGTCTTTTGTTGTTGCTTTTTCTTTTTTTTTCTGAATGTGTTCATTTTCATTTGTTAATTGTCATTAAATATGTTGTGTCATTTTCATTCTGTGGTGTTTCTTCATGCTCTCCTTATGTTTGTTACTTTTATTGATGATCACATTTAAGTTTTTATAAAATGCCCCACAGAGCTAAATAGCTCTGGTAGCAGGTTGCAGCCTTGGAGCAGTTTTAATATAGACTGTTTATACTTTATCTCCTGATGTATTCATTTTTGTGTTTAAAGGGAAAAAAAATAACTACAGCCTACCATATTTTGTTTTAGCCTCCCTTCTAAAATAATGTAAAAACCCAGAGCAAGTCTACCTTTAGATGCACTTTCATAAATCTTAACACTAACAGTAAACAGCCTCAACTGTTTTATTTTATTGTTTGTTTTTTTAGTTGGAGAAAAAAATCAGTGTTTAGAAATAATAAGATTTTTATAGAAAAGCATTGATGCCACAGGCCCCTATATAGCAGTTCATTTAACATTCATATTAGCTGTATGAATTGTTAGAAAGGTATAAGAGACAATTACCTTTCTTGGGTCTAAGTGGAGCTGGTTTTGTTTCCTTGATTTAGAAAGTTGAAATAGAAAAAAAAAATAAAGGCACAATATCATTTACTTTGTCTATTATTTCATTTTATGAGATGCATGCAATGAGGATTAAACTTCAAAACCGTGTTAAGAATCCTTCATGGAGCCTGAGTTGCAGAGCAGAAAAAAGCAAAGATCTGTCTAGACAAGTCCGGTAATCTAATCTCCTGTTTGCTTCTTAAACCCAGAGAGTCATGCAAGGACAAAACAAACTTCTCACTTTCCATTAAATCATATTAAATTCCTCCAACAAAAACAAACAGCCTTAAATCCCTCGTCTAATATTATGGTCTGGCACTGGAGGTGACAACAGAGGTGGTGGGGGGGTAAAAAGAGCCTCGATTCTCTGGAGCCGGAGACACAGAACGCAGGATGGCTTGGGGATGTGTCTCCTAATCAGATTCAGACAGCAGCATTGAGGACAAAGCTTGAGACATCCTGAAGTTGGTTATGTAAATGCTTGCTGCATTTTTAATCTTCAGCTCTACAGCTGGCAGCCTTTCTTTACCACTACAGAGCAGATCATTATTTCTGCCTCAACACATCTGCTTCTGTGATTATGCTTTTCATTTATAGCCAGCCTCTCCTAATTCCCTCTAATCCGCTGACCAGTTTTCAGCTGCTGCACATTTGAAGAGCGGTATCTCCAAAAAATGATGTGAGAGGTTTTTCCAAGTGTGTTTTTTAGCATCATGACTCAGTTCAAATAAGAGTGGGATATCAAGAGCCAGGAATAACAAAATGAGCCAGCAGGGAGAACGCTGGGTTTTATGATATAATCATGATTAATATCCCTTAGAACAAACTCCTCATGCTTTCTCTCTCACTCTGTCTGTCGCTCCATCTGTCTCACCAGCGTCCTCACAGAAAAGACGGGCTACATTTTCATCGAGGGTTGAGCTCGCCTCCCAGCTCACAGACAGGAAATGGCCATATATAGGCTTTCTGTCTCCTCACTGGAAGTTTCATAAGCTGCTGTTCTCCTCTCTCTGTGAGCAGTCTCCATGGCAACAGTATTTTGTTTCCCTCTGTGGCAGGAAGCAAGAGAGAGTCAGAGATAGGAATTTCAAATGAGACGGTGAGCATAGATGTACGATTAGGTCAAAACAACAAAAGTGGACCCATGGAGGAGGAAAAAGAGCAGAAAGAGGAGATGAATATCACCGCAGGGTCGTCGGGTATTAAGTGGATTTTCTTGTTCCGGGAATGAGAGCCCGACCAAACACAAGCATTACATAAATCCAACTTTAGTCTGACTCACAGCTACATTCAGATATGGGCTTTTCAGGTCACAGCAGCAGAGATGAGTAAATGCATTGACAGTAACTCAGGCAAGAATCAGGGCAAATTGCTTCTGTAAATACATTTTAGTTGAAATTTGTTACAGTTTAGTAAAATAGTCACACCATCTCACAATCGTGACTGAAGATTCTCAATGAATATATCGTTATCAAATAGATAGATTCTTTATTAAAAAGAGAGCATCTAATATAATATATTTTAATTTGTTTCATGTCCAGTTCAGTGGATGGCAGCTCTTTTGGCTTAAGTTCTCATCCCAAAAGAGTCATGTAGAAGCTGAGGTACAACCAAAAAGCAAGAGGTTGCAAAGTACAAAGTATTACATATACACTATATTGCCAAAAGTATTTGCTCACCTGCCTTGACTCACATATGAGCTTAAGTGACATCCCGTTCCTAATCCATAGGGTTCAATATGACGTCGGTCCACCCTTTGCAGCTAGAACAGCTTCAACTCTTCTGGGAAGGCTGTCCACAAGGTTTAGGAGTGTGTTTATGGGAATTTTTGACCATTCTTCCAGAAGCGCATTTGTGAGGTCGCACACTGATGTTGGACGAGAAGGCCTGGCTCTCAGTCTCCGCTCTAATTCATCCCAAAGGTGTTCTATCGGGTTGAGGTCAGGACTCTGTGCAGGCCAGTCAAGTTCATCCACACCAGACTCTGTCATCCATGTCTTTATGGACCTTGCTTTGTGCACTGGTGCACAGTCATGTTGGAAGAGGAAGGGGCCAGCTCCAAACTGTTCCCACAAAGTTGGGAGCATGGAATTGTCCAAAATGTCTTGGTATGCTGAAGCATTCAGAGTTCCTTTCACTGGAACTAAGGGGCCAAGCCCAGCTCCTGAAAAACAACCCCACACCATAATCCCCCCTCCACCAAACTTTACACTTGGCACAATGCAGTCAGACAAGTACCGTTCTCCTGGCAACCGCCAAACCCAGACCCGTCCATCAGATTGCCAGATGGAGAAGCGCGATTCGTCACTCCAGAGAACGCGTCTCCACTGCTCTAGAGTCCAGTGGCGGCGTGCTTTACACCACCGCATCCGACGCTTTGCATTGCACTTGGTGATGTATGGCTTGGATGCAGCTGCTCGACCATGGAAACCCATTCCATGAAGCTCTCTGCGCACTGTTCTTGAGCTAATCTGAAGGCCACATGAAGTTTGGAGGTCTGTAGTGATTGACTCTGCAGAAAGTTGGCGACCTCTTCGCACTATGCGCGTCAGCATCCGCTGACCCCGCTCCGTCAGTTTACGTGGCCTACCACTTCGTGGCTGAGTTGCTGTCGTTCCCAAACACTTCCATTTTCTTATAATACAGCTGACAGTTGACTGTGGAATATTTAGGAGCGAGGAAATTTCACGACTGGATTTGTTGCACAGGTGGCATCCTATCACAGTTCCACGCTGGAATTCACTGAGCTCCTGAGAGCGACCCATTCTTTCACAAATGTTTGTAAAAACAGTCTGCATGCCTAGGTGCTTGAATTTATACACCTGTGGCCATGGAAGTGATTGGAACACCTGATTCCAATAATTTGGATGGGTGAGCAAATACTTTTGGCAATATAGTGTAGCTTTGTTTGAACTCACATCCCATGCTTTCTGAATCAGGTGAATATTTTATGTGGCTAATGAAAGACTTCCTTACATTAATCACACCTTCATTTTGGCAATGATAATTATGCGGTTTTTTTTTCAGTTTTCAAATTTTTTTTTTTAAATACTTTTATAAGCAATCTGAATGGTGCTAATGAACATGTTTAAAATTACTCTTACATTTTGTTCAGTCCACCATTACAAAAATAATGTTGTAGAGCTTATTCTAATCCCCTAATTGTATGAACCAATCAGTATAAATTATTATTTAGATGCTACATTTTTTTTAACATTGTACCCATTAAGACACAAGGTTGTAGATGTTGTAGCTTATTTTTTAACCTAATTTCAAAAGTTTTATTTCATTAACCTAACTTTTTAAAATGTAATTTTAACTGCCAAACTAAACCAAATTCTATTTTTATTTTTTTATATGATATTATTAGTTCTAGCAAAAAATGCCCCCCATTTTTTGATAAGGAATACAAATACTATAGTAAAGGTATAGTATACCTGAGAACTGGAATCACTAAAGTCCAAAAATCTGCAAGACTTGGGAGTGGCAGCTTAGTGGTTAGGGCATAGAGCTTGGAATCCTGAGGGGCCCCACTCCCACAGACTGCTACTCTGGGTCTCTGAGCAAGTCCCTTAACCCCACACTGCTCCCTGGGCGCCCCATGATGGCAGCCCACTGCTCCCCAGGGGGGATGGGTTAAATGCAGAGGTAAATTTCTCCAATGTGAGATCAATAAAGTTAAATTATTATTAAGATTGACCTGGTTTTAAGAAATTGGCAACCAAATGTTAAGTACCAAGGAGAAAAAAGTCAAAACAGCACATTTTTATTTATTCCAACTAGACCTTTACTCCATAGTTTTGCCACTTTTATTAAAGAATGTTACATGATGGAGGGAATACTAGAGTTTTAATGTTCAATAAAAGCAGATTCTTAATTTTATTTAAAGGCAAACTCAACCAGGTAAGTCGTTGGACAGGTTTATTGCTCTGGCTTTTTTTTTTTTTAATGAGGTTTGGCTCTTTTTATAAAAACATTGCCGATCCATTCCAAGAGGCACATGTGCAATCAGCAGATTTTACAAAGGAAAAAAAAAAAACGTATTCATTGGAAGTTAGTAGTTTGATGTACTGTTTCTTTTTATTCTGAGTGTGTGAAATTAGATGTAGATCGTATGACAGAACAGAATAATGACGTTCCTGTGTTCTGCTTTCTCTCACCCTCTTTGCAGGGATCACAGGGTTCTTCCACCTCTCTGTCTTCCACTCAGGTTTCTAGCCCAGCGGAAGACATCAATGGCGTCATTCCTGAAGGTGAGGAACATCTATGTTGCAAAGTCAGTTTAATCTATTATTTAATAAGGGAAGGCCTGACACTTCCAAATGTCAAGCATATGAGCAGCCTTTATAACCTTTGATAACTGTTTCTGCAACTTCTTTATGGTTCTCCGGTTTGTACTTTTTGCTCTTAACAGTTTTTTATACTACGTTGTCCTCTTTTTTTTTCTATGTCTTACTGCAAAACACTGATGCTTTAGATTATTATGTAAAAAAAAAATGGTCAGCTATGAGCTGCAATATTTGAGCTGGAGAAAGTTGTAATATTTGTTAAATCTGTATACTTGTTAAATCTTGTTAAAGCTTCACATGTGATTTTAGTCAAAGAGAGCCCTTTAGACCACTTTAATAATGTTTTAACAAATACAGTTAATATTTAGCTAATTACCCATATTATATATTTATATTTTGATTAACAAGTCAGTCTCACATAAATAGTAATACGTTTGATGCTCAGAAATAAAGAAATAAAGTTATGCTCATTTTAAGGTCTATAAACTAATGGAAACCTTTTTAAATCTGTTTTCTGCAGCTGAGATTCTCCAGGATGAAGTTCCTGCTGTACCGCCCTACATATCTGACCGCTACAGGGTGGGGCGGATGCTGGGCGACGGGAACTTTGCGGTTGTTCGGGAATGTGTGGAGCTCTCTACAGGACGGGAGTACGCTCTTAAGATCATCAACAAGGGGAAATGCAGAGGCAAGGTGAGCAAATGCCTGCAGAAGGAGACTCCCAAAGCAACTTTTACATTTCAAACTATGATAGTCAAGCAGAGAGACTATAATAGAATATGCTGGATTATGATTTCTATTGTTGAGGTGCTTGGATGATAGAAAAGAAGTTTGCAGACATAGCATCTTGCAATTAGTTTCAAATGTTTCGATGTTCTCCTGTTGTTTTCTAGGAACACATGATTCAGAACGAGGTGGCCATCCTCCGCAGGGTCAAGCACCCCAACATCGTTTTACTCATTGAGGAGGTGGACACATATAATGAGCTTTACCTTGTTATGGAACTGGTCAAGGTATGTTTACGTCATATTATGTTTGTCTTAAAGAGCCTTGTAAAGGTTCCAAAATGTAAAAGTGTCATTAGACGTTTTCATATTTTGATACATTCATTTCCTAAACCTCTGAGGAATTAAGTCAATACTTTGGTGTTTAAGCAGAAGAAAATACTTCATTTTAAATGTTTATTTCCTATTGGATATCTGAAAAGTGTGGCATGCATTTGCACTGTTTTCAGTTCAGTCTCTACCAGCTTTACACATCTAGAAGTTGAATTTTTCTGATTCTCCTTTACAGTATAAAATAGCCCTACTTGAGTCAGATTTGATGAAGAGCTTCTGTGAACATTATATATTTTTTTCTATTCACACATATTCTGAATTGGATAAAAATTGACTGGACCATTTGATTGTTGCTCTGGCTGTTTGTTTTCCATCTAAAAGGTGAAGTTTCACCCTGGTCTTAGATATAGTTCAACCTCTTACAGGTCTTCATAGAAGTGTGGCTTTATTTCAATATTGACTTTCTTTTTATCACACTTTCAAAATTCCAAAAATGAACAATTTATAGCTGTTTAGTCAATGGATTTCCCCACCTGAGCTGATGACCTCTGCAAGTCCTCCAGGGTTACAATGGGGATCTAGGCTCCTTCTTTTATCAAAGCAATCTGTGATCTTGGCAGATTTTCACTTATGCCATTATCAGTACTCCTGAAAAGTTTAACGTTTGGGATACTGTTTTATACCATAGCTCTACTTTAAACATCTTAACTTAATCCCTTCCCTAGCTACTGTGTTCATAGGTCTTTATTATACTGTTTTCTCCCAAAGGATTTTTATTAAACCTATTCTAAGATTAACTTTTAAACAGAAGGATAACTTTTACTAATTAGATGGTACTGGATTTTGGGCTGTGCCATGTTAAAAGAAGAAATAAAACAGTTAAAGACTAACAAGATTTTGAGGGTAAAGTTATTTTTATAAGGCAGCCATGTTGAGTTTGGGTGTATATTCTGTTACACTTAATGTAGATCAATATCTCCAGTTAGGTTGCAGAGATGACGACAGAGACAAAAGCGTAGCAATCCAGCGGAGCGAATGACGAAGTCGCGCAGCATGAGATGGGGAGAATTGCTTCTTGGCTGCAGGCACTCTTTTCCTCGCATTCTTCATTCTCTCTCTTGCTCTCTGAGTCGAGAAATGTTTGTGCATAATTCAGGAGCCAGGAATGGGATCCATCTGTTCCGTGGAGTACTACAGAATATAGATGTGAGCCAGCCTGTGGGAGAAATGTGCGTACGTGTTACCACGTCCAAAAGTGGGACGAGAGTGGAGAGGAGGCTTTTGATGAATGAGGTGGAACATAACTTCTGCCATGATGACCGACGCTGAGTGAGCCATGGAGATAAAATGAGATGATAGTGTTTACGTATATCCTAAGGAGTCTTCTGTTTGCATCCGCTTTGGGTTAGTAACTTTAATTTGGATTAAGGGGGAAAGTCAGATAAAGATTTGAAGCATTCGAAGAACAAAAATAACATAAATTTGTATTAGATATCCATAAAAGCCCTGAAGATTGAGACGAAATAAGTTATCACGTTCATAACTTAACTGGCTTTAGATGTTCATAACTTCAGCCAGAGAACGTTGTCTTCAGTGGGTGCAAAATAGGTCTCTAAAACTGATCATGGCTTCCTTTAAATTTCTCTGATTAAATAACAAAGAAAGCTGTAAAAAATTAAGTTTGGATTTTGTCACAACCTCTACAAGGTAAAGGATGAACATAAGTAAGAATGTGGAGGACAGCCGACCCCCCACATGACCCTAAATTTACTATCATCACAGTAAGACATGATGTGGGAATATTTTACTTTAGCAAAAACCAGAACACTGGAGTTTTTCTTGATGAGCCAAAGATAAAAACGCAGGTTAATCCTGGGGAGAAAATCTGTTCAAGACTGCAAAATACACCCTAAACATACAACCAGAGCTGCACAGGAAGGCACACCACACTTTTCAGATTTTGACCATAAAAATATTTATCATATTTCTACTGTTATGTTAAAGGCTATGATTACCTTTGCAAGGTATTGCCTGCTACAGCCTGCTACAGCTTTCATTAAACAATTCTCTCTGACCTGACAGTGTTTCATGCATTTTCCTTATGTTACTTTATCTCAAATAAAAAAAAACTCTGCCCTGTTTGAGTCCTCTATTTTATTTAGTTCACTTAGCAAGACAGAAAGACTCACTCAAAATGGAAACATTAAACAAGAGAGAAAAGAGGGCACACACCCCATCTCCAGTTACTATTTTGCTACAGAAAATACGAGCAAAAAGTTGGATCTGAATCATTGGACTTCTGTTCAAGTCTGTAAATGCCAGAGAATTTCCCACAACAGTATGGTCCCAGTCCTAATAGCTCACATGACTCCTCTGCAGGGGGGAGATCTGTTCGACGCCATCACCTCTGCCAACAGATACACAGAGAGAGATGCCAGTGGGATGCTCTACAATCTGGCCAATGCCATCAAATACCTCCACAGCCTCAACATTGTGCACAGAGACATCAAACCAGAAAACCTGCTGGTGAGTGAAAACATCGCAGTGCCCTGTATTTTCTCTTCGCCCTTGTTGTTAACCTGTAATGCAGGATCAAGTATCACTTATTTGACTTATTTTCCTTCTGATCAAATGATTTTTATTATTGTCATTCTCCAATTTCTGCTCTACTTCATTCAAAAATGTGAAAAGTGATGCAAAGCCTGGCCAGGATTGAGCCTGACATTCTTTATGACTTTTAAGCAGCTGGATCAGAATTTTAAAGTCAGGTTGTGTTAAAAGATTTGAAACGGCTCAAATCCTGCTGCAGAAGAGGACACTCTCAGGGTCTGTTTAGTATTTTTCCAGATTAGTTGCTCCCAGAGCCTGAAGCTAATGGATAATTTAAGAAGACAACCTCTTTGGTCAAAAAACGTTAAGAGCAGCATGTCTTTATAAGTGTTTATTTTCTAATTCTAAAAAAGTCCATATCAACCTGTAAAAGATTGTTCCTTAATATATTCCTTTGCTTTGATATTGGACTCTTATTCTTCCCAGTGATGCTCATGCTCTGTTCTCAGGAGGAGGTTATTAGAGTTACTTAGAATTTGCATTCACATTTTAGACTAATTATTTTATTATTAAGTAGCTTCCTTTGAAAAACCTTCATTGGACATGCTGTTAACAATCACCAGGTGTTGATTTATGCTAAATAAAAACAGCAGATAAGACAAATTAACTGCACCTTACTTGTTAACAGAACTTCATTTAAAAAATACAAAATTTAACTTTATAAAACTGTCATATTCCTATAATTGGACCTTAGTTTGATTTTCTTCACATTGTTTTTTTGTGTTTAGGTGTATGAACATGCAGATGGCAGCAAAAGCCTGAAGCTGGGAGACTTTGGTTTGGCAACCATGGTAGACGGACCCCTCTACACTGTCTGCGGGACCCCAACATATGTAGCACCTGAAATTATCGCAGAGACGGGGTAAGAGCTGCACCTGCAGCCTGAGGCTGTGTACATAAATTATATGATAACAGATGCAGATTAAAATTTATATAATCTCACCAACCCTGCAGTATTTAAATTATTTATTTTTTTTATCTCTATACAGGTATGGCCTTAAGGTGGACATCTGGGCAGCTGGAGTTATCACCTACATCCTATTGTGTGGCTTCCCACCCTTTCGAGGGTAAGATTATATATACCTGCACAAATAAAAGCTCTTTAAAACATCAGGGTTCCAAGAAGTAGCTTTGACTAACAAAAAAAATTCGAATATTAATTTGTATGTTTTATTTATTTTGTTTTTCAAGGAATTTGTATTGTTTTCTACTTGACAACATTTAAACAATAATAGTAGCCTAAAGTTTGTTGATATTTTTTGAGGGTATGTTTGTGTTTTTTGCAATTACTTATTTATACCAATTGATGTCGCTATATCCCAAGGCATGAGATTGTATTTTATATGTAGCAGTTCTTTATTTAAGAACTATTTTATTGATAAATGTTTTTCGATTTGGACGTCTTTACAGAAGCAGTGAGGATCAGGAAGCTCTTTTTGATCAAATACTGATGGGACAGGTTGAATTTCCTCTTCAATACTGGGACAATGTCTCAGAGACAGCCATGGTAAGCATCATCTGTGTCCTCTAAAGGAGAGGATAACCTGCAATTAGAGAAACAAGCTCACGTCTGTCTGCTTGGTTCTGCAGGATCTGATCCGATCCATGCTGGAGGTGGAGGTGGACCAGAGATACACTGCCCTGCAGGTGCTGGAGCACCCTTGGGTTACTGTAAGTATCTGGTCTATGAATTAGAGGAGCATCTCCTCTTCTTTCAGCTGCATCCTTTTTCTATGGTAAAAATTGAAAAAACTAACGTGCTAATCTTTTGCTCATTGCAGAATGAGGGTCTGTGTGAAAACGAGCACCAGCTTTCTGTAGCCGGGAAGATAAAGAAGCACTTCAACATGGGGCCGAAGGTCAACGACACAAACGCCGGGGTGTCAGTCATTTCTGTAAGTGATCAACTGCAGGCTTCAACTGGTTTGACAGCTATTAGGCATACGTTAAAATGTTTTCCACAAATGAACATTTTCTTTTCCTTAATTTCACTTATTAGCTCCAGCGCTTTAGACAGAGCTAATTTTCTGAGTTTCCTCATGTGTGCTGGTGTTTGGTTTCTCCCTCTGTTCAGCTGGATGACAGCTTTTCTATGCAGCGATCTGGGTCGTTGGATTTCTACCAGCACCCGGCTATGTACTGGATAAGGTACGCCAGGTTTCTATGGAGACGTGGAAAATGCCACAAAGTGGCCCGATTACAAAACAAGCTAAAGCAGTGTCTGTGAAATGGATGACCCCCTGTCCCCTCCATCGCTGAGTGCTACCCCTGCTGACTGCTGCTGCTGTGCTGCTATTACAGCATGATTTTGTTTTTGTGTTTGCCTTTTTACTCGTCCTCCTTCATCCCTCGCTCCATTTGCACACGTTTCATAACAGCCTAACCTGCACTGTCTTTTGTTGAGCTTTTTTATCGGTGTTTATCAGTGTCTCCTGGAACAAAGCTGCATCTTTGATACAAAACTTTGCAATTTGCAGAAAATCTCTTTATGATTCCTGCCTTTTCAAACAAACATCCTTCCCCTGTTTGTGTCTTGAGTTCTTGTTGTTTCCTGCATTTATGAATATTGCTTGATGTGTTGCTTCCAGCCCAGCTTCCCTCTCTAACAGCACGCCTTGCTCTTCACCTTCACCGGCCCCTGGCTTCTGCTGTCTGACCTTTCTACTGACATACGCAGGAGGCGATAGCTTATTGAGATACTAGTTGCAAGAGGAATTGATGGCACTCATGAGTTAATCAACAAAATAATTAGCTGCTATGATTAACCAGATATTGAACTAATTATGTGTCAGATTCTTTTGTTACTTTGGTTTTATAATCAAATTAAAATGCATTTTATACAATTTAGAAAGAGTGATGGAGGACTCCAATGCTCCCCGGAAAAGTATAGAAGTTTATCTAAGTATTTTCCATTCAATCATTATGCACGATTATATTTGATTTCTTTTTATTGCTAAGCAAAGGAATGGGACCTTTTAAAAAACAAACATGGGGAATAATGACAGACATGTGTGAAGCTATGAAGAAACAAAAAATGTATTTTAATCATTCCTCCTGTGACTGTCCATCTAAACAATTAGAGTATCTTTAAAAGCTCTTAGGAAGCTGCTTTGTCCTCCTTACCAGGCTACATATTCTAGGTCTGATCATGCTTTCCTCTTTTCCCCTTCAGGCCACCCCTCTTGATAAGGAGGGGCAGGTTCTCAGACGAGGACGCTACCCGAATGTGAAGCCGTCGCCTTTGCAGATGATCCAGACTGTGAACGCAGAAATGACATCCAACGCAAGCCGACCGGAGCCTCCCAGTTGCCTGCCCGGCCTGCCCGCAGACCCCCCCTCTCTGACCCCTGACACTCGCTCCGACCCCTCCTCGGATCCAAGCCCCTTGTCAGACTCTGATGATGTCTCCATCAGCTCGGTCAGCACTGTCTGCTCCCCCAGCTCACCCTTCTAGTGATTAAAGGGAGGGGAGGAGGAGGAGGAGGAGGAGAAGCAAGGAGGGAATCCTCACCCAGCTCCTCCTGTATAGAGGAGAAGGAGGAGGGATCATTGTGGATAACTGTGGGGAAAGGAGAATTGAGAGAGAACTTTGAAATCCCCTGAATCCATCTATCCAACTCAAGAGGAGAGATTGATCGAGGGGTGAAAGAAAAAAGATTAGTTTCTTATATTTCTTTTTAACATTCTCTCATCTGAGCACATGTCGAGCTCAAGGAGCAGGAAAGGGAACTGTTTGCCTTTCGGTGATGATCCGGGCCAAACATGGAAACTTCCTCACGCTGGAACAGCTCAATATGGCAATATGAGAACACTGACCAACGTTCATATTTTATTGAACCTTATTTAATCATGGTTTATTTATTGCATTTTTTTATACGCATATCTCTTTTTCTTGAAGGAAAAAATATTGTCTTTGTACTTAAGAATGGAAATGAAGGAAAAGTATGTAGAGGTATAATTTGGATAGATTAAAGTAGGCTGATAGAACCAGAAATGGTAGAAGTAGAAATGTTTGGACTGGTCCTAGAGCTCTGCTCCACTCAGCCTTCTCTTAATGTTAGGTTTACATTTTACAAAGTCGACAATGGTGCATGTTATCACTTCTTTTTACTTTCTTACCTGAAATAGTCACAACATCTTAAACCTGAAGATACAGCAGCATCCAAATGCTTGTAGCAGACATCTGAACTACTACTTCGTCACACACTAACTGACACTTCATAGATCCTTATTTCTAACAACCAACAGAGCTGTAATTCAGGGATATTCAGCTGCATCTCAAACAGTTGGAATGCCTTATAAAAAAAAATAGAAATAATTCCAGTAACCTCAAATATAACAGATTTTTAACAGGAGTGATAATACCAGATCATTATTTTGGGTAATTTTCATTATTTTGGCTTGAAGCAACTGAAACACCCAAATTCTGTCCAAAAAAAAAAATCAGATTACATAAGATTAATAAAAAGTCATTCTTTTGACAGCTTACTAAAAAGTATGACCATGTAGCAACTGTACAGAATATGCACTTAAATGCTTCGTCATGGGCGCCTTTTGCTTTAATTACTAGACCAATGGAGCACAGCATGCAGGCAACCAGCCTGATGCTCTGCTGAGGTGTTAAGGAAGCCCATGTTGTTTTAATAGTGGCCTTTATCATGCCTTCATCGTTGGGTATGGTGTTTCTCATCAGCATTTTGACAGTATTCCACAGTTTGTTTGTTTTTTATGTTTTGGACAGGTTAGTTTGCTGAAAAGCTGTTAGCATGGTCAGCAAACCAGGCATTGATTGTTTTGGCAGTATTAGCTTAAAAATGCTTAAAAATTAAACCATTATAAAGCTTGTCAGCTGGCAGACAAACCTATGGGAATTTGGTAACTTTACCAAATTCTTTTAAAAGACTTTCTCTCCCAATCCTTTTGCTTGAGCACTTTTTCTACCGTTCTTTTGCCTTCTGCCTGATTTTCCATTGATATACTTGTACCGGTAAATGGCTCTTTGTAAAGTCAGCTTCTTCGTCAACTATCAAGCTAACACTTTATATTCTATTGAATGAATATTCTATTCATTTATTTATTGATTAGTTTATTGTCTTATGTAATGATGTGGATTTCTAATGTATGGGTATTTGGGGTTTCATTTGTTATAAGCCATCAAATATAATCAAAAATACCAGAAATAAACTAATACAACATATTCCTTATTGTGTAATACATCAGCATAATATAAAATCTTGAAGATATGTAATGAAAATCATTAACTTTTTGATATTCTAATTTTTTGAGATGCACCTGTTTTCCAACATTAAAGAAAGGTACAAATGTTGTGATCCTAATGCTCCTTAAATAGGTGCTCATAATGATTAAGGGGTGCCTATTTACATAAAGATATTTAAGCCTTTTTTTATTAAAGGCGGCAGAGAGAGAATGGCAGTATGGATGAAAACCAGCAGCACTCGTGTGCAAAGCAGTTAAAAGATGGAGGAGGACTTATTTAAGCTCTGTAAACCTCATTCATGGCTTCATTTATTTAGATGAAAGCATGACAGACATACAGTAGCCTATTCTTATAACAAAGCTGTTTAGTGGTGAAGTATTGTTTATATGTTATGTAAATAACAGTTTTATTTATTTTGATAGTTCACAATACAGTATATTTCTTTACTAGTAGTCAATCTTTGAAAATGATAAAAAAAAAACTGACAAGAAACCAAAAAAAAGAGAAATAATAATAATCATGTTTCACCATCAGTAAGCAGGAAAAAAAAAAAAATATAAATCCAGGAATCATCTGGACGAAATGGAAAAAAAAAATACAGTTAAAAAACAGAACAATTTTTTACCTGATGTTGTTCCATCTAGATAAACTTAGTGAATCCTATATAAAAAAAAGAAAAAGAAATCATAATTTTTCATATTCAGTTCATACAAAATTTTACTGTTCGTAAAATCAGTTGGTTATTTTAGTTTCCAAATACTAATATGAAGGAAGAAATGGAGAAACTCTACTATTTGTAGCTTTTTTCCCACCAGTTTTTGTGAGATTTTATTGCATCTGTGTCATTTGTCTGCGTTTTTCGTCTTTCTTCCAATCATAGGATATAGATGGTAATGTGCTGCAGTATGAACATGTTGTACTGATGGAACCCAGCACACGGTTAACCAAAGTGCTCTCACTGCTGCACCGCATTCAGCCTTTCCTGAAAACTTATACCTGTACCTCTCCTCATCACTGGTCTATCAATAAATAATAGTAATAAATAAGACATGTTTAAAGGTTTGTTTGCGTCTTTTCTGTCAGTCTATTGTCCAAGTGTTTTTCACACAGAATATAGTTTAAGGTGGAATGTTATTAATATTTGCATGATATTTTTGTTATTATTAAGAATAACTACAGATTTTTGTGATAATAACAATAGGAATATTTGGAGACAAGAACAATAAGAAAACAAAATATTGTTTTGGTTATTGTTTTTGTGCTGTTTATATTGTTCTAACATGTTCAAAATACATTACCATCTCCTGCTACTTAACTCCTCTATTACTATCCAAACGGAACAATTAATTCCACCCAATATTGAGAAAAGGGAGAATAAAGGGTTTCACATAATGAGGACAAAATGGAGTTTCATAGCTCATTTATCAGAGAATCTTATGGTTGACAAAGAAGATTGTAAGACCAACATGGTCATAGAACCACATTAATGTAGATAGATCAATGGCAGCTTTCAGAAGAGAAATACAATGAATATTTATCAAGAGATTTATCATCAATTTAAGGGAATGTACAGTGATTTTACACAGATCTATACAAATGGATCGAAGGACATTGAAACTGAAGCAACTTCAGCAGCAGTAGTAATTCTTAAATTACAAATTAAAAGATCAAAAAGAGCATCCACATTGTTAAGAATGCAGTAGAATTATGTGAATTACGGTAGTAGAATAAGGAAACTAATAATTTATAATGATTCTTTGTCAAGCATTGAGAAGGTGAGTACAGAAAAACAAGCACTTAAGCTTCCTGAATTAAATTATATTCGTTCCTCATAGAGTATATGAACAAAATAATAATATGGCAATGGAGTGGACTTATACCTAAGGTGGTGTTTTGGAAGATAAAAGAGCAGATACATTTGCAAAGGAGGCTATTAAGAAATAGATATTGAGCTACAGCTACCACTATCTAGGTCTGAGGGCATAAGAAAATATTGGGAAGAAACTAGAAGTTATGGAAGACGAGATGGGATAATGAGGTAAAGGGAGACATTTAGACAGAATACCAAAAAAAAAGCAGTTGAGATTTCAAGACATAGAGGAGTGAATAGGAGGGAAGTCGTAGTGAAAGAAGGTCATTGTCTCTTAAATGCTAGACTTTTTAAGATGGAAGAACATTTTAACATGTTTTTTTATTGAGTTCACTTGGTATTAAATGAAAAGACAATCTTTATGCTTAGATATGGGTTTTATTGAGGACATGGCGTTTGAAGATAGTGCTTCACATTTAAATGTTGAAGGTTTTTAATTTTTTAAGCAAAACTGTTCTAATCAGAGGAATTTAACACAATTTAGATTTTAATGTGTAAACCACAAGATGGCAGTAGCGCGGCTTGCGCCGAATTCAAGCCACCATTAAAAACCAACGAAGAAGAAGCCGAAACCGTTGAACGATATCTATGCGTTGAACGCTATGGTTGAATGTGAAGCTTTTATTATTCTGGCCAACAGGTATCGCTGTAAGACTGGAAAACAATGCAGAGAAGAAGAATTTTGTTGATGAAGTGTTGCTTTCGCTTAGCAGCGATATTGTATAGGTTTTTCCAAATATAACATGTTTTATACGGTTAAAATGTATTATTGACTTCTAAGTACGTCATTCGTATTTAAAAACGCGTCAAAGTGCGGTCTGTGTTGTTCAGTATCGGCGGCTACAAGTTCAATAGTCATGAGCGACAAGGACACTTCTGCTTTCGCCGCAAATAAAGACAAGGACTCAACTCTTCTGCTCACTAAAGACGGACAGAAGTATTTTGTTAATAAAAGCGGAGCTGTGGACAGCAGGAATGTCAATACGCCGCAAGAGTCTGAAAACAACGTGTCCTCTTTGAGCATAGACGATCCGGACGAAGAGAGCGACGTCCTGGATGTTTCTGACCCTAGAGACGGTGCAGCCAGCCCGGAGGAGCTCAATGAGGAGGAGACCTCCGAGAGCGACAACGCCCCCAAGCAGTGCACCTACGAAGGTTGCACCGAGAAAACCACACAGGTGGCGAAGCAGAGGAAGCCGTGGATGTGCAAAAAACACCGCAACAAGATGTATAAAGATAAATATAAGAAGAAAAAGAGTGACCAGGCGATGTCCAGCGGGAAGCTCGAAGTAAGGAAATATTATTTAAATCTAAAGGACCGCTTTGATTACAGCATGCATGTGTCTTAAAATGACTTATAAGTACTTGTGTTTATAATGTTTTTCATAAGTTTCAGTGTAAAGCATTAAATTAATTTTCTTTGTGGGGATAATTAGGAAAACTCTGAGGAGCGTCCAGTGTCTGTGAACAAACAGCGTATGGGGGCCATGGGGGACCGTCCAGCCAGACCCTCCCTCATAGAGCAGGTGCTCAACCAGAAAAGACTGGTGAGTAATTAATGTGCACAAATAAGGAATAGTTGTATCAACCATACATGTAAACAGAGTTTTATGGGGTCCCCAGGAACTTGGGGCCCTAGGCAGCTGCCTAGTATTGCCTAATGGTAAATCTGCCTCTGAACACAATATTATCCAAAAGTGAACTGAGAAACATTCCTGTAACTCAGCAGCATCTGCATTTATTTCTCTTATTTACCAGGTTTGAACCTAACATATTTTAAATATCCTTAGAATGAAAAAATACTTCAACATTATTTTGTTCATCTTGTGGTGCCTAAAATATGTCGTAAAAATGTATGCACTTGTGATTTCCATGACCAAAGATATTAAACACTATTTGTTCGTAAAGGACAAATATAATAAATAAGATAAAACTAGATAACAGGTTTGGTACTTGCCTTCTCTAAAATTGCAGAATTTACCTGGAACTTACAAGTAGGGATGGACAGTATGGCCAAATCTTGAATTAAGATGTATTTTTTGATATCCACTGATGTTATTTAATCCCAATATCTATAGAAATGAAATAAAGGCATCAGAAGGAATACCAAAAATGCCCACAAGAGAGTCATTATGTTAATTATATTGCCACATTTACAGAACTCCTTTAATTTAACAGTTGAGATGACTCCTTAAAATAAAAACTGTATAATACACGGAACGTCTGTTAGAGACGTCTGTTGGATTCATATTGCCTATGATGCCATACAAGACCCTTCTCCAGTACTAACAGAGTACCTATTAAGAGCTTACCTTTAAACTGCACACTCTCATAAAGTACACTGTAAGGTCCAGACATCACTCTTCTGTAATTTAAAGATAGGTTTTATAGAATTAATCAGTTACGATTTAGTTTTCTGCAACTTTCTGGATCTGGTTTCCTCTCTAAACCTCAGACTATGCTTTACTTTAACTTTTAAGTGACTTTTCTGGGATTTAGAAAGCACTTTTAAGAACTTCAGGTTACAATTTTGGAATTTAAATGTGACTTTCCAGGAAAGTAGAGCTTATATAATTCTTCATCTTCATCTGATTATTTCAAGGTTATTTTCAACAATATGATTTAATTTCCCAAAACTTCAAAGTTCAATTTCTCCTACTTTGAGGTTACATTACTCAAACGAAGTTTACTGTCTAGGCACTTAAGTTTTTTCTTTGAACACAAATGCTTCTGTCTTTGGATTTAGAGGTTACTTTTTTTTCAAAGTAGCGCCTAGTTTGTAAGACCTGAGAGATAAGTTGTCCGGAAAACAAAGGCTAATAATATTGAACTTAACGTTTAGCATCTTAAAACGCAGGTTACAATTTTTTAACAGACACTTGTTTTGTTTTGAATTAAAGTCTACCACAATGCGGCTTTTTATTTTAATGCAAAATTGTAACTGTGCTTAATCTTATATAGCACTTTTTCAATGTACAGATTAATCAAAGTTCTTTAAACTCCTAAAAATACACACACATTTATACACTTATAGGCAGATATTGATGCAGTTGGGAACTTAAAGCGGAACACCGTTTATTTAACATTGGGCCCTTGATTTTACGTTATTACATCATTTTCTACTTACCCATATAAGTTTTGTCATTCGGAGATGTTCTGAAGATATTAGGTTAGGTTATATCCAAGTAATGTCCTTTTGGCAACGACTTGAAGGCACAAACTAAACTGTTCAGAATTTATTTGTTATGTTACGCCAGCATTCATAACATGTAGGCGAATCACTGTCGCCCAGACATCCGCGGTTATATTTTTCATAGTTATACATTTTTAAAACATACGAGAGTGTGTATGACGTCATCTGCGCGCCGGACTGGAGCTGTGATAGGCAGCCCGGCAAGACATTACAAATATTATTTTTGATTACATTCATTATATTACATTTACCAATTTAGACACCTCTGCAAACGTTTTCTATTGGAAATTATCTTACCCCATACACCTACTAACCCATGGCCGTACTAACAGTACTTATTTGACTGCAACTTTGAGTTTCAGGAGCCTTATTAGCTTGCGCTACTCACTTTAAGGAGCTGACCTACTGATTCCTAAAGTAAAGCCTGTAAAAGTGTAAAAGGTGTGTACCAGTGTGGACAGTTTGATACAGCAGGTAAATCCACTAAAGTAACCCTCAAACCACTAAAGGCAGCACGAGTTGTTTTTTTATACAGATATTGAAGAAATAATAACATATAATTAAAAAAATTAAAGATATGAGGAGCAACATTAAAATAGCATCCCATTATTTCCACAAAAAAGGGTAATGAGTTGCTATTTAAATCTGTGAAAACTGAGCAATTCTGTCGGCTCACGTTAGCTTACCTGCCTGTACTTGCCATGGCCTACATGACTGAAAATTTAGTGGAATGTGGTTCTGGAAAGCAACCTCATCCTTGAAGAATTGGGTTTAAAGCAAACTTAGGAAGGAGCCTAGCAGAAGCTAACATGAATGTCTTTGTCCTCCAGTCTCTGCTCAGGAGTCCAGAGGTGATCCGGTTCCTTCAGCAGCAGCAGCAGCTCCTGGCTGCACAAACCCGCAGCCAGTCACAGCAACACTTCCAGGGCTGTTGACGTCGAACTGATTGGTTTGCATCAAATGGACTGTTATAAAATACAAATAAACCCTATTTGGTGCATAATCAGATAAAGCTGAACATCTGACCTTTAACTTTTACAGAAAATATTTGTATAAGTGTAAGCAAACATTTCCCTCCATTTAATCCTTCATATTGCAAAATTAATCCACACCTTAAAATGTAACTGTCTAAAATTGTTTGGATTTTGAAACACTGTTTATGTATATTTATGTTGAGTTTTTTAAATGATAATTTATGTTAATTCTTGCTCTTCTTGGTGGTATTTATGTGTTGTATCATTGTGAAAAAAGGCTAATATAATTAATTTAAATCTATATTAGTTGTATGGTATTAATAAAGTGTAACAAATGCATAATTTCATGTATGTTGAAATAATCCATTTTTCTTTTACAAACAAAAAGCCTCCCTGCTTGTTTTTTTAAAAAACATCTTTTTCATCAATGTTCAGTACAAGCTAAATTATTTATAAATGCAAAAAAAGTCAAAAGGTTAAAAATGTGAGATGTGAAAATGGAAGTTATTGTATGACATCTTTGTTGCACAGTTTTCCCTGCTGAGTGTATAAAAATAAAAAAAACATTGATAGTGAGACAAAGTGAATTTACAGAGCTGTTTGAGCTTTATTCTTTTGATTTAAAGTATTATTTCAAGCCCAGAACAGTGGCCGCAGAAAGACCAAGCTCTAACATCAAAGGGGGAGGGGTCTCTGACAGACGTATGTAAAAAAAGAAAAAAAAAAACTTTAACTGAGAAAATATAAAAAGTAAATAATACATTCAGTCAACACATGGAAATACACCACAAATAACTATAACAGTACCTCCAAATATATCTCATTTAGTCTTTGTGCAGCTAAAGTGTCTGAAAAATCCAGAAATGCTTCATTATACTTGAAACTATTGAAATCACATCAAGTGTTTACATAATTTTAAATAAAAGAGCAGTTGTAGAATAAACTTTAGCAGTGAACAGCACAGTAGTCATGAAATGTGACGAAATAACGGACAGAAAACTAAGCAGAACATCTCACTACCTGTGTAAACACAGCAGGCACACACCTCGAAGTGTGTGTGTGCCTTTATGTTATGAAACCGAAGAGATGGGGTTGTGCGGGGAGCCCATCTGCGTGAGGACCTTGTCAAGCCACTGCAGGGGTCCATGTAGGTGCACTTCGATCCAGCAGGGGGTGCTGGTCACATCTTGGCGGTGGTATTCGGCACCCCAACCCTGAGGAATGAAAAGAGGCCAGTTGGTTGAATGGTGGTGTTAATGCTAACCACTGATCTCTATTTAGACTTTACGCAGGTCACCAGTACCTAGATTTACTAACCAAGAAAATCCATATATTTGCCGATATATCCTACCCTTAGTCTGGCTATTTTGGACCGACTCAAAGTCATTGACTGAGTCAGCCGTTGACATTGTGTCTAACATTAGAAAGTAGAGTAAATACAAAGTAATTCACTGTAAAATCTCAACGTAGTCATTTTTGATTAAATGGATGATGATGTCATTTTTGAAGTGTTTAATATATTTCTCATTTGAAAAAGTGCTGAAATATATTGCATATTATATTGATGGAAAAAGATATAAGTATATTTAAATGTGAATTCGCACTACATGTTTAAGTTATATTATTAAAGGTATTCAATTGCTGGACAGTGTATGTGTGTGTTTGTGTGTGAATATACATATTTGTATGTATATTCATATATGTATAAGAATATATTATGTATGCAAATGATCAGATTTTTTGTTGAAACTATGACCAAAAAGCAAAATATGAATTTGATGTCTGTTATTTCGTCAATTTATGTGATTTTGCTAGTGTGGAAACTGAACCTCTGTGGAGTTATTAAATTGGTTCATTAATTTAGCTCTATTGTAAATCTATGACGAGGCTAATGCACAGACACTGCATAAAAGTATATGGCATCATGCATTCAGAATTTGCAAATAGAAAAATACTATAGCATTAAAAGATGTGTACTTGTTATTTAGTCATGAAATTATATGTAATATGTAATTACCATGACAATGTAATCAATACATGTATATTACATGAACAGCAACAATTTAACACTTTTGGCACATCTGTATTATTATTCTCCATTAACACATTAATTGTGTTGTGATGGATTTGTATGATATATTATATTACATGATTTAGGCTTAAATCACTTCATACTGACTATGCAAGTTGATGTGCCTATTATTTTTTTTATCATAAATTAAAGTTATATACTATGAAACAGCAAGTGTGTCTCAAAGTGATGAATTTATCTTAATTTTAAAAGTCTTAAGCACCCCTAAAAAATAAGAAAATATTCGTTGTTCGATGCTGTAGCGCACGTTTTGTTTACATTGTGACCGGTCTAACTAGGGAGTACCAATATGGCGGACTGTGACTTCACTCCAGCCTGTACTACCAAGGGGCTATCAGCAGTCCGGTGAATAAATAAAGATCAGTGACGCTAACAGGAGAGTAACCACCTTTCATGCATCATCTCACTGCTCAATAAATTAAAACCAAGATTCAGTGTAAATTATAATTTTTATTTTGGCTTTCACTAGGTAGAGATTGAGCCTTTTTCTGTATATTTACAATAAAAAAGATCAAACTCTGGTACCTTGACGAAGCTCATGCGGATGGTGCACATCTTGGTGAGCTCATAGACAACCTCAAAGCCATGGTTGACGGACTGGGCGAGAAGCTGAGCAAACAGCTGGTTGTTGAAGATCTTCAGGCTGCAGCCGCTGGGGATCTTGCAGACGGTGGAGGTGTGGAAGCCATGCTGGAAGTTGCAGTTGCGGCTCTGCACAAAGATGCTGCTGTCGCTCAGACACTCGGCATAAACCTCCCCACCCACATAGTACAGATGCAAACCTAAAAAAAAGGGGAAGGGAGAGGATAATATTAACAAAAAGTTCTGCACAAATAAACCACTGGATAAAACAGTTTTGAAATACAATACTATGGGCCGGATCTATCAAAGGTTTGCGTGTATAAAAACGTGAGCTATTTCACTGCGCACGCTAAAAAATGTACAAACTGATCTATCAACAGCGTGCTAAAAGGATTTGGTCTTTAAAACGTGCTAAATAGCGCCTCTTATCCATTTAGTTCTTTTTCTGCAATGAATATGCAATATGGGGCGTTTACACGCAAAAGTGCGTCTTGTGGGAGGAGAACATGTAAATATATTAATTTAGCACTCGCAAAGAGATTTATCAAACCTGAAAGCAATTTTGCTAACGCTATCTGACTCTATATTTAACACGTTTCAAAAGAAGGTGCAAATGGTCTGTATGCGTAATTGCGCACACATGGTAGTGGTTATTGTCGCAAGAAGGAGACATAGAAATGAAGCAAGGAGACGCAGAGAACGCATTTTTTGACTCCGTGTAAATATTTTTGGAATGAACGAGGAAACGATCATCAAAACATATCGTTTATCCAGCATTGCCATTTTGGAGCTGTTGGGGGAACTCCGAATGGATTTGGAGCCAGCCACAAGGAGGACCCACGCAATACCAGATATCACAAAATTCCTTGCAACATTGCACTTTTTTGCATTTGGGTCATTCCAGCGTACGGTTGCAGCGAGAGCTGGGATCTCCCAATCTCGTTTTTTCAGAAGTGCTGTCCGACGGGGTCGGGGTTCTCCCCCTGCGCCTGTGGAGCAACGTGCCAAATGCTGCGGGGATCTCATCCACAGTCACAGGCCTATACAAAACACCTGTTTTTTTTTGTTTTGTTTTTTTTTTTACTGCAGCACATACCACCTTAGGGAATAAAGGTTGCCAATTTATATATATATATATATATATATATATATATATATATATATATATATATATATATATATATATATATATATATATATATATATATATATATATATATATATATATATATATATATATTTTATTTTTTTATTTTTTTTGTTGGGGGTCACTGTAAGATTTAAATTTCTTTTTATCCTGCATCTTTGCCCTTTTTTTTTATATCTCAAGAGCCAAAGCAAGCCCATAAACACATTTAGAAGGCTTTCCAAAGCTTAATACAAAGCAATTTAAAAAACAGAGATATGCAACAAAATACATGGCATTGCTATTTAAAATGACATTTTATTCACATCTATTTTTATCCTTATTTTATTTTTTTGGGTGTAGGGGTGGGATTATTAGAAAAAAATCTATTGACCTACAAAAAGATAGAGAAATACTTTGACAATCTAATTAAAGAAACAAACGTATTCATTTCTGTAACATTACATTCACAAACCTCGTATTTAAGCAAAGCGTAAAATGAATAGACTAGTTCTGTTTACCAAGTAGAAGGTAACCTCTGGCCTTTATTTACTTTCTACGCTTTTTATATAACAGGGGGCATTTGAGTAGAAACACCTTGAATTGTCAAGTAGTTTTCTTATCAGGAAACTTGCTTCTAATTGCTCAACTATGGTGCAGCTTTAATTAAGTAAAAAAAAAAAATCTTTTGTCAGACTTTGACCATCCATCCATGTTTCAAATTCTTACCATTGTAGGATTATATAATCACTGCAAATGTATTAAAATTCAGTTTGTGTAGCTTTATTTCATTTGGAATGAATTTCGGTCCATCCTGAAATTCAAGAACAGCTCTCCACAATTTCACGGAATATACCGTTCAAAACGCAAAAAAAAAAGGCGCTGAAAGTTGTATACCATAAATTATATACAAGTCTTACGTTCACATTTGATCACCATGTTTACATTTTATCACTGCAGCTTTCATTGTATCACTGCAGCACTTTAAAAAAAATTTAATTGTCTTGAGAGCTGTACTGAGCGAAATTTCTTTTGTCTTTGTGTGTACAAAATGACAATAAAGTCTAAGTCATCAACATTTGTATTTTTTTGTTTTTCTTATTTTAACCAAACCCAGTTTAACTCATACAGTACATAACAACAAATAGATATGGCAAGTCATTTTTGTTTTAAATATTCACATGCTGTTACACAGTCACATACATTGAAACTAAACTGCCAAGCATTGAAAAGTGAAGTTGTTTCTGAAAAGGGAAGTGAAGCAATGAACAAACTGTGGGTTTAACATCCCTAAGATTTAAAATAAATCCAGGTGGCCTGATATAATTCAAATCATTAGCTGGTGCAAAAAGTTCACAACATTAACGCACATTACAGCTCAGCCTCAATTTAAGATTCCAAGGTAATAAATTAAGCCTTTTATGACATCAGAGTATATGTGCATTCCTATTTTTCGATACGCATGTGGATTGTAAAACTGCTGCTTGGTAACCCTTTATCAGTTTAAAGCCTGAATGGAATATAATGCAACATTTTCCATGCATCCTTTCTCTTCCTGCTCCCTGAATCACTTTGTGATGCTATAACACAAAAAAAGCTTTAAAATAAATAAAAATGAATGGGTTGTAAATCAGCTGGGGGTGCCTACCTTTTCCTATGTGTCTGCGTGTGTGCTCGATGGTGGAGTTGCGGTTGACATTGGAAAGTAGACCTAGACAGAATCGGTTCTTGTTATTGGACGGGTCTGTGAAGCCGTCCACCAAGACGCTGCGAGATGAGGCGTGGAATGTC